TCAAAGTTTTATCAGTTTTTATGCTGCTACACATGAAAGCAAACAAAAAAAAGGCAGTACAGCTACACAAGTCTAGATATAGGTGTATTAGAATAGAGATTTATACTGGTACGTATAGCTGTTCTCACCTTCTGAAAAGAATAGCTGCAAAGGCACAAAACAACATAAACCTTATGCCTGGATTTCTTACTGGTGTGATTATTTCCATTAACAGAAATGCCTTTTAACTGAAATGTGTAAAGTCAGTAGAAAGCAAGGGAGAGAGAGGAGAGGAGGGAAAAAAAAGGAACTGTTTTAGAATAGGCCTCAAATCTACATTTTTGTAAAATAAAAGCTCCCTCCTCACAAAGTTTTGTGAGAGACCTAATGATGTATTTAAAGAAAAATATCCAAGATTCTTGGATGGAAGGCCATATATAAATGTAAAGTACTGTGTGTATATATATATATGTATTGTGTGTATATGTATATAAGTGTATGTGTATGTATAACATATAAATATATGTTATATGTATATATATTTCTGTATATAGCTTAAACTTTTTAAAAATCCTGTAATGTATAGCTAGACAAAAATTATGCAGGTTAACTCACAGTAGCTCACGATACACACACACACACACACACACACACCACACACAAGGCATTCTGATAACATAAGTGGAGAGGGAACCTAGAATGATTTATGCTGTCGTCATTGACTTGAAATGTGTATGTAGCTTTATAAATAGCTTTTTTTCCTCTGTATGGTATATTTAAACTATATCAAGATTTTAATAAGAAAAAATGTTTATTAAAATCATACACCTCATCTCCCTTTGACTTTAGCCCTTCTGTTAGTTCATTTTTAAGATGTGGTAGAGAAGTTACAGGAGAAATTTCTAATGTTTTAATTTTTTTTATAGTCTTACATCTTTATCAGTTCGTAGTTGCTGAAATAGGTATAGGTAGCTGCTAATAAAAGTTTATCACCAACATATCAGTTCCTGTCCTAAAGCTAGGAAGAGCTGATACCTTAGTGCTAACTTGCTGTGGCTTAATGTTAGCCTTGGTCTGTGTCACTGTTAGCTGTAGCCCACAGGGCAGCTGAACTGCATGCTTCAGCTTTGCTGCTGCTTTGCAGAAGTCAAAAACTGAAGGGTGCTTTCTCATCAAGGGCTACTTTCCAGCTGGTTTGTTTGGGAGTTAGATAATAGTCAGTGAAAACAAGGAAAGCGTTAACTGGAAAACTTGTGAATCAAAAGTAATGACCTTCTCGTACATCAATGGTCATTCAGGGAGGCCTAGGAAAGTGTATTTTCCTAACTCCTTAACCTAAATTTATCTTTTTAAAGCGCATGGTTGTATAGAGACCTACTAATTTTCCGGAGCTCACTTCAGTGTATTCATTCAGAAATGCACAAGAGCATGAAGTATTTAGTTTTTATGTTTGGAGGAGCGCGCGGGTGGCTCCCGCCGCTCCGTTCGCTTGTGCTTCGCTTCAGAACGCCTCGCTGGGGCTCTCGTTCGCACCCTGTGGGAGATACCTCTCTGGTTTAGTGGCAGCTTCCACTGAGCAAGCTTATCTGCTGGTCTTACTCCTCTTCTATACTGTATCATGTCTCTGTGCATAAATCTGTGTAAATGCCCTTCTAAACTTCATCTGTTCTCTTCACTGACTTTTAATTCTTCAGCTTCCTAATGCTTGGCCAAGCTACAGGTATCTTAACTTTCCCTTTGGTTTTTCAGGCTTTGTATAACTTGATCTTTTTCCTGAACTTTTCAGCTTTCCTGCTCCTTTTTAGTAATGCATCTGCCAAAATTGAATAGGAAATCTTGCAAATCCAAATTAACTAATTAACAGTGCTGGAAACCCCACGGCCCGTGTGGAAGGGACACTGCTGTGCTGTGCGACCACAGCCAGGGCTTGTCCCCAGCTAACCCGCATCACGGTGCGGTTGGAGCCTGGCAGGAGGCTCTGGCATCATCAGAGCGCTGATGTCTCCTCTCCTAGATGCAAGGGTTTTTTTAGGAGAGTACTTGAATGCTTGTGAGATTGCCTCTCCTGCCCCTTCTTTGTCCATGGCTTAAAGCTGGTATTAGGCTCTTCTCTCTCAGACTGATAGTTCAGTATTTCACAGGTGCTGAGATCGCTGGAAAAGAGCACCAAAGACTTGACTTTTTATTATTATTATTTTTTTTTTGCTCTTGTTGTTCCCCCTTTTCCCCTATATAATGTCATTTTTGGCATGGCGCAGTTGCTCCTTTGCTCCTTCCTGCCCTCGAGCTCAGTGCCAGCCCAGCCCTCAGCCCTTGGGTCAGCTGTCCCCGAGTCATCCCTGGCCACGCAGGAATAGAGCAGCTCCCGGGGCACCCGTCCTGCTCTCGGAGCGCAGGATGCTCCCGCAGCTGGATCCAGCCATCCGCCGTGCAGCTCGTTTTAAATGGCATAGTACAGGTGCAAGTGGTAGCTTCATGTCTCACAAAACTGCAGGGTGCTGTGTTTTGTATGAGTGTTTATTTTGCCTGTAAACTAACTCATTTACAGTTTTGCAGGTGCCCTTCTGTATTTCAGTGGCACACTCTGAATTACACAATTAATYACACAATGTGTAATTAATGCACATTAAACAAAGCAGAAGTGGATGGATTTTTGTTGAAGGTGCGAGAACATCCAACTGCAGTTTTACTGATCTTTCCATCTCTCATAGTATGTTTACTTTGGTGTACTTTTCCTCTGTGCATTTTAGAATAAGATTAAATTCTGGGTAATGGATGAATAGGCACTGTGCATCTGTAAAGTGTTTTTAAGAAGCTATCGCAAAATACTGAAGTCTGTTCTCGTTCATTGTATTTGGTAGTTCTTGCATCTTGACAAATACTCAAAAGGATAGTCCCTTATTTGGACAATTTCCAAATAGCAGACAGCCAGGGTTAGAGGTCGGCAATTAAGGTATATAAGCAAGTCAGTTTTATTAAATTGAATGATTAGTGCATGTTAAAGTTGTAGGGGTTTGTTTTTTGTTCTATTTAAGGGGGGAGATGCATGAGCTCCTGGGCCATCAGCACTGTCTGGATTACACACCCCAAGGTGATCTGTCTGTGCTAATGGGTGCACTGAATCTGCTCAGCTCCAATAATTACACACTCTGGGCCAGACCCAAAATGTGCAGTACTCAGTGCTCTAAAGCAAGGTGCTGTGGCGAGCTGGAACATCAAGAAATTTGTATACAGATCCTTGTGTAACACACAGTAAATAAAGGCTGACAGAACAAGCGTAATAGTCAGATACCTTGAGCTGTATAAAGCCATGTTTTCTCATTTTATGCTTGTTAATGTGCTTCTGGTACACTGCTTAGTAATGTGGCGCTTAGGGACATGTTTTTGTTCTCATCAGAAAGCTCAATTTAAGGAAAACAAAGCCGTTCTCATCCACAGGAGCAGCCACCTGCACTGCCCAAGTCTCAGCAGTGAACTTTCCCAAGCTGCTGGCCTTGTTGAGACTTGAGCCCTTCTCAGGAAGGCGCTAAAAAGCCACGGGGGACAGACCAGGTCCATGTGTGTTGAGCACCTGGTCCAACTCCTTGTTACTGTACTTAAAAGCCATACAGGGGAGAGTGGAGATCTTGGCTATTCTACAGCAGCCATGAAACACATGAGGAGTCTTTAAATAGTAATTTTTAAAATCCTTGATGCAGAAGATGTAGCAAAGCTAAGTTCCTGGAAAATGGCATGAGTTTCTCCTGCAGCTCGGGATCGCCCAGGCGGGGTGGCAGCTGGCCCAGCCTGCTTGGCCACCTCTTGGATTTGGGCATGTGGATCGAGCGGCAGCAACAGAAGGTTGTGCGGATCTGCGGCCTCCCATCCCCAGGGATCACCGGGCACCAAATCCTCTTCCTCCTTCCTACCAACTCCTCCAGACTCCGGGCTTTTCTCCCACCTACAATGAGTTGTTTAACTCTACTTCTGTCTTGGTTGCCTTGAGTCCCTGTACACGTTTGAGGAGTTCTGATGGTTGGTTTGGTTGGTTTTAGGACTGCATTTTTTTTCCCTAATCTTTTTCTTACAGCCTGTTATTTTGTTGACCCGTCTGCCTAAAAGCAATGGATCTGGCCAGCGTAGGGGTGAGGATGGAAAACAAAACAAATGACGCTCTCTAACCCGTATTTCCAGGAAATGGTTCCAAGGAAAAAGTCTAGGTCAGGTGGTGAAAATACATGTTAATGGTGCTTTTGTGAGAGGGTGAAAGATGCCACTGGCAAGTCCGGGGAAGGAGGCGAGAACATTTTATGTTGGACTTGATGTCTTTTCCAACCGTAATGATTCTGTGACTTTACTGATGCCAAATGTCTCAGGCTGAGAACTGTGGCGTTACCACCATTAGCTGGTGCCAGCGCTTGGACGTTGCTCTGAGTCGGGACCGACTTGGGAAACTTAATAGTTTGTTCTGTTTTCCTACGTGCACTGCCCTCCCTTTGTGACTGCCTGTCTCTGCTCACGGACACATAACGTAACTGCCATCACCACCATGCTCAAAGCTGCGCGCGTCATTTCACTATTTTAACACAATAATCATATCCCACAACCTCCTCTTCTCCTGCCATCCCCGAGGCTTGTCTAAGACATTTTCCTATTAAAATAAACAAATRAAAACACTATTCTCGTGCTTCTGCCTCGGGGCGAAGGCTCAGGACAGGCGCCGGGATCAGCCCTTCCCTGGATCAGCCCCGGGACTGCTTGGCGCACCCCGGGCTGGCTGGGATGTGCCCTTCCAGGCGCTTGTGCCTTGCGGACACGTTTAGGGATTAGGCCGAGGCGGCCTCCCTCTTCCTTAGGCCGCCCCGGCGCTCGCTGCTCCGGCTCCGGGGCGGCCCGCGGAGAGGCCCCGTCCCCACCCGCCCCGACCCGTCCCGCTCCGCCCCGCGGCGGCAGGAGGAGGAGGAGGAGGAGGAGGAAAGAGGAGGAAGGAGGGGCGGCGGGGCGGCCGTTCCCCCCAACGGCCGCGGCCCAGGCGCGGGGCCATGGGCGAGCGGCGGGCCGGGCCCGAGCGGGTAAGCGCGGCCTCGGGCCAGGCCCGAGCGGGTAAGCGCGGCCGCGGCGGGGCGAGCAGGCCGCGCAGATGATAAGGATGATAATAAATAAAGGACGAATAAAGGTGCCCGGCGGGGCTGGGCCCGGCTTTGCCGCGCCTGGTGGGCAGGCCCCGGCCTGGCGCCTCCCGGCCGCACTGCGGGTGCCGCTTCAGGCGGCCCCGGCTCCCCAGGGAGCCTCACGGGGCCGCCCGGGGCGCCCTGAGGCGCTGGGTGCTCTGCGGGTGCTCTGCGGGTGCCCGGGCGCAGCGCGGCACCCCGCTGTGTGTGTGTGTGTTGGGGCACGGGAGTGTGAGCGTCGCCCGCAGCCGCCGCGCGCAGGGCGGCCTTTGGAGTCACTGTCACCGCCGGCTGGCCTTGCTCTGCTGGGAGCCCAGGGTGGCCGGTCCCGGAATCCGGGATGAGCTGGGAATGAGCCGGGCGGGATGGCGGAGGCCTCGGCTCCGGGGAGTTGCTTCCCGCTGCCGCCGCCGTGGGCTCCCTCCTTGCAGGGAGGTTTGTCTCCCGTTGCTGCAGCGAGGCGCCTGTGCGCTCCCAACACAAAGCAGCCTCCTTGCGAGGCTGGTGCCTCCTTGTGTCCTGACAAACCTGTGCCCTGTTTTACACACGTGGGGAGGTCAGGGAGAAGCCCCCGGGTGCCGGYGGGCGCTGGAGGCAGACGGGCGCCTTGAGCATTGCGGTCAATCGGAGAGACCGCCGGAGACCAGGAGAGTGTCAGCCGAGCTGTGTCCACCCAGGTGCGGAGCTGACAGGCGGTAGGTGTTACGGCTCGGGTGAAACTTTGCAAGGAGCCGTAGACCCCGGAGCTGGGAGCGGCGGCACCTGCGTGAGAGCCGAGCAGCGAGCTCCAGGCGGAGACGCTCCTCCCACCGGGATCGCAGGCCGCGGAGCGGCCGAGAGGCGGATGTTTATCTCTTTATTTATACATATATATTTTTAATCCAGACCAGTTTATAGCTGTGCGCTGTAGTCCTTCAYGTGGTCATGAGATCCCTTTGAAGCAGCTCCTGGAAACCATCCTTCATTTCCTGGCTCTCAGGGCCCTCTCTCAGAGTCCGCACGCTGCTCCATGGAGCTTTTCACCCTTTGCTCCTTTCCTGGCTTTACTGTGTGCGTTGACAGTGTTTCTGGTGGACGTCGCCCCTTCTGTCTATACGCTGTGGCACAGTAGCTTCTAAAGGCCATAAAGAAAATCACTAGTGAATAGTAACACTGAAGCAAAAAGTRCTTTGCCTGCCACACGGGAACTTCTGTTTGTTCTGTATGTGCTCAGCTTTACTTCTGCCCACCAGAAGTATTTTCCAGATTATCTCTGTATTTTATAGGCCCTGCAGAGTGTTTTTTAAAGGGTTTGGGAGCATCAAGATGAACTTCAGTAACTGCTCGTGTGCCGTCATAGGCTGAAGTTGGTACTTGGGGCTCATCTCCATGCAGCACTGCAGGATTTTGCCCAGGGAATCAGAGGACTAACATGGAGCAGTCCACAGGGACCCATGAGTTTTCATGTCGCAGCCGAATTTGTTGGAGGCAGCCTTGGAAGAGAGGCGAGGACAGATAGGGGCGAGCAGCGCAGGGGTGACCTTGCACGTGTCCCCGCGGCGCCCGGGCCTGGCCGCCCTCCTCYTTCCTCCTCCTCCTGCCGCAGACAGACTTTCCCTTCTGCCCTGCAGTATCCGGCGCTTCCTGGCACCTGGCGGGTGGGAGGACGGTTTAAATCACACGAGATAGTGCCAGGCAGGAGGGAGAGCACAATGGAGGGCCCCGGGGCAAGCGCTCCCCGAGAGGGTAGCGTGGACCCCCATGTGGGGCAGGTGAGTGTCCCCATGGCCGTGGGGCTCTGCTGTCGCGGTGCAGGGAGCTGCAGGGAGGCAGCAGCGGTGCCCTTAACCCCCACTGTGCTCTGTCTGCAGGACTCCTCTCCAGGTGCCCTGGAAAATGGTGTGAGAGCCAGCGAAGAGCCTCTTCTCCGGAAAAATCCCCATCGGTTTGTCATCTTCCCCATCCAGTACCCAGACATATGGAAAATGTATAAGCAAGCTCAGGCCTCTTTTTGGACAGCAGAAGAGGTGAGCATGATGACACTGGGATGGGGATCCTGGCTTTTCGCTCGTGGCTTTGCTGCTGGTTTGTGTTTTGTGACCTTGAGCGGAGTTAATTTCTTCAACACATGGAGTCTGCCCCTGAGTAAGGCTCCSTTCATGCTCAGCGAGCAGAAAGGTGCCTCCACACAATGGGTGCTCCTTGTTTTGGAGACTGGTCTAGGCTGATGTGGAATTGCATTCAAAGGAACCTGTTTTTTGACTATAGGAGGAGTCTAAATCACATGTGGGGGTCTGTGTTTGTGCTAATGTGTGTGCACACACACACACACACACACACACACACTGCTACGCTCTGTGAACCTCAGTTTTCTGATTCTCTGAGCACAGCGACCTCCATGCCCATGTAAAGTGTTCTGAACAATTTTATGAGAATGCTGTTCTTAAATAACTGGTCCTTATCCTTCAGAAAGAGGAGAGTAATGGGTGACCCTGTCTAGAAACACATCCAGTCTGCTCCAGAGCACCCTGGTTAGGTGCTCGTGCCGGTCTTACAGCGCAGGCTCTGTGTTTAGGCTGGGTTTTGATGTCGTTGAGGTCGCTGCTCAGCGTGAGGGCTCTGCTCTGCTGCTGTCAGCACAGGCCCGGCCGAACTGGAGAGTTCATAGGAGTGCGTGTGTATGTGTAAATGTATAGAATACCGGATGTGTGCATATGTATATGGTGTATATATGTATTGCACAGATATATGTGTGTGTGTTTCATATATGTGTGTGTATATATAAAAATATGTAAGATTTCTGAAATCTATAGACAAGCCTAAAATTTTTTATGTATGTAAACATATATAAGAATTATATACACTTCCATATGTACATATACACATATATATCATATGTACATATAAAATGTTTTCAGGCCTGTTTATGTGTTCACACCTGGCCCTCCKTAACCCGTGCTGTGGTTCAGAACCGCCTCAGAACAAAGGCAGGAGCCGAACAGGGCTCTGCCGCCGGAGCTGTGGCTTCCTGCCGGGAGCAGAGCAGCTGCACGGCCGTTGCCAGTGCTGTTCTTAGGAGGGGAGCAGGCTGAGCTTGTGTCGAGCAGAAATGCCCCCGGTGCAGCTTTTGGCACACCGGGGTGTCTGTTTCTTGCGGTATCAGTGCTTATTGCGAGTAGAGGATTAAAGCATACTGCACTGAGCTCTGCTATTAGAGTAGTAGAGCTCTAATATCTACACCAGTGAGATATTAATGTTTTCAAGATCTGATCTATTTATAATTTAAAAATTAATACCACTTTTCATTTTAAAATATCTTTCAAAATGCTGAAAGCTGCTATATAAAAGTAAATTAAATGATCTTTTTTTTCAGGAGAAAGAGCATTATGCAAAATTTAGGCCGCCTTGAGTTGGAATCCTCACAGGTTTTATGTTTGGTATGTGATTCAGAAGAGTCACACCTGTTTGTGGGGAGAGCGGTGCAAATTGCAAAGCAATTGCATGATGTTACAGTTGCAGAAGCAGAGATACTGCAGTGTCAATTGCATAATTTACACATATTGACATTCTTTGTATTGGGCTCCAAAATCCTGCCTCAGTGGTTTAACTGTGCTGCTTTTGTTCCTAAAAAATTAAAAACCTAAGAGAGTAATATTTTTATTTTTCTTTTGATTAGGTTGACTTGTCAAAAGACCTGCCCCACTGGAACAAGCTAAAAGCAGATGAAAAATACTTCATCTCTCATGTTCTGGCCTTTTTTGCAGCCAGCGATGGAATTGTAAATGAAAACCTGGTGAGGAAGCTTTGCAGAGAGCCTAAATGCTCCACCTTTATTGTCATCTTTTCTCTTTGATTGTCTCTGTCAGTGCCATAACTTTGTTTCTGAGTGTGYCTGCTTTCTACTCATCATCTGACCTGTGCCATGGGAAATAAGCAGCTTATGCTGCTGGGATGAGTGTCCCAATTAAATTAGGTCASCCATGGTCAGCAAGACTCCACACTATGTCATTCTTGGCCACTTTTTTTTTTTTCTTTAAGTCCAGCCTTCTGTCTCCCATTGTTGATCTCCATTTCTCAATGAATTAGTAAAACTCTGTGCTTCTTCATGTAATGGTGCTACAGCAGAAATAGGAGGGGAATTGAGCTGTRTCCTGCTCAGCGTTCTCTGTTTTGGTAAAATCTCTTTTATCTTCACTGGATGGTCCCTGGAAYGATTCTGGGCTGCAAGTGGGTGCTACTAAAGTGCTGGGGAAGTCTCCCCTTTCTGCCGRAATCAGTTTGGGGGTGCAGAATGTCTCACCTCAGATTGCTGAGTAGAAATACTCATTTAGATCTTCAGCATCTCGAACACACAGAATGTATCATAGTGTGTGTGTYGATATTTCTCGAACATGTCTTTGGCGTTTGATTTATTTTTTTCAATGATGAGTCTGAGTCTTTGTTCAGCGTGGGGTTTTTGCTCCTGCAAAATTTTGCTGTTCCCCTCCTGTGTGTATGTTCTCTCATGCTTCACCATGCTTTTTTATGCAGTATACATAGCATATATTTACTTCCAGCATGCTTTCTTTAACTCCTTCTGCACCATATCTGCCTTCTTGACATAGCTGTTAATAAAATAGAGCTGAAATGTCCATGTCCTTTCTCTGTGGTCAAGACCAGTAGCCTCTCCTGTGAGGCTTGAGAGCATTGTATGCTGGCTCAGTATTGCTGTGCTCACTGCTGTACGTTCTGCTTTGGTAGGTGGCACGTTTTAGCCAGGAGGTGCAGATCCCAGAAGCTCGTTGTTTCTATGGCTTTCAGATCCTTATCGAGAACGTTCACTCCGAGATGTACAGCTTGCTTATAGACACTTACATCAAAGACCCTGAGGAAAGGTAAATCTCTGAATGTGCTGCAGACCCCTGGGAAACATGTAGTGCAGTGGGCAGCAGCAGCTGCCTCGTGTTGGACACAGTGTTGGAGCTGGGGACAGTTGGTTGGAGCTTTCTAGGTCTGTCTCCCTGATGCCCAAGGTGGAGAGAAGTCTTCCCTGACCAACAAACTTCCATGGGAGTGTTGAGGTTAGTTAATATTTGTGTAGAGTTTTGGTTGTGGGAAGTGGCAGGCTGTGTGAAGTGCTGTTAAAGATTGGACTGTGGTTCCTGTGCTCCTGCTCTTGCAGCGGTGAACGATCCATCTCTGCCACCTTGGTGCCCTTTACACAACTGGGGCTTGTAACATGCTGGTCAGTGCATTGCTTCCTTCTTTTTTACTGTTGGGATGTTCCCAAGCAAGTTGAAGTAGTTATTTTTAAAGTACTGAGCTCTTTGGAGAGACTTTTGTCACCTGGGCTACTGTCTAGTCCCAGTGGTAATAAATTTGAAACGAGATACTTCCCTCAGATATTCCGTGGTCAGGCAGGGCTTGGTTTTCCAGGATGACCTGCAACACCAAGACACAAGGTGAGTGGAAGAGCTGCTAGATTTTCTTTCAGGTATTTAGCATGGGAACAGAGACTGCACTTGTGGGAATTATGTCCAATGCSTTTTGTGGAAAAAAGGGAAAGATGGAGGTTTTCATGGAACTGGGAAAGATGAGGTTTAGCTCTTTGAGCAGGGACTAGCAACCGTCTGACTTGAGCTATGAGAGGCAGCGTGGCCTGGTGGATGAGCACTTCTTGGATAAGTAGGAGTCCTGAGTTTGCTTCCTGTCTCTGTAGCTTATCTGCTCCGAGATCTTGGTGAGTCCCTTCCTTTTCTGCACGTGTGCTTCCCTGTGCCCTCTCTTATCAGAGATCATACAGCCCTTTGGGGTAGGGACTGCCTGTGTTTCATTTAGTTGAGAGAGTTCAGAGCATGGGGGGATTCTGCTGCTTGTTGGAGCCTGTAGAGAGATCTAGAAAAGATAAATCACTTCTGCAAAATTATTTTGATGTTTTCTTTGTTTCTTTTCGTAGGGATTTTTTATTTAATGCCATTGAAACAATGCCTTGTGTCAAGAAGAAAGCAGACTGGGCTCTCAGGTGGATTGAAGACAGAGAATCTACGTTTGGTGGGTACCCTCTTAAAAGCTGCTTCACAAACTAATCCCCGGCGAGTGTGCTGTAGCCCTGGAGGTTGAAGCAGTATTTTCCAGAGGTGGTGCAGACGCTTTGTGGATTTCTGGGTTTAATTAAAGGGGTAGACTTTAACTTCTGATACTCTGGTGCTTACCAGAAGTTATAAAACTGATGATACAATTTAATCTTCAGGTAAAACAATACAGTAATGGTGAAGCCTACTGGCATCACAGCTTGAAAGTGCGAAAGTGCTTGTGGATTCCCCTCTTTTTCTTTCTCTCTCTCTTTTTTTTTTCTTTTTTTTTTTTTCTTCTACATACCACACCACTGTAGCAATTTGAGTCTTTGCCTGTAGGTCTTGTTTTTAGGCTTTTGWTTCTCTCTTATAGCTGGTTTCTATTTTGTAATCTGGTGTTTAGAGCTGACTGGCTGAAGTCATCTTACAAGTCCAGCATAAAATGGGTTGTTCCATATTCTCCTAGACAGACCTGAGTGACATGAGTGTTTTTTTGCAACAGCCTAATTGAGGCTAGRCAAAACCCAAGTTTGATCTCTTTTGGTGTTCCTGGCTTGCTCCYGGGGCCATGTTTCCAGTTTCGTAGCCCATCTCAGAGCTGCCATGGGCACCCTGGTTCTGCATCCAGCTTCCAGTGCTAACTGCAAGAGAGAAGCTGTAGGTGAGCTAAGCCAGACACCCCATGTGCTCAGCCAATATAGGATGTGGAGGGATTCAGGCAGGCTGACAAATTCATCTGAAGATCACTCTCAGCATCTGTAGTTCACAGCCCTTGTTCTGAGTGGGATTCCTTTTGCAGTTATAGATTCTCCTGCCCTGTCACTTTGGCTTTGTCTGCATTGTGCAAAGTTTCCTCTTCATCTCCTACATTAAGCACCCATCAGCATGGGGTGATGAGGGAATGAGAAGGTTTCTTAACTCAGAAGCAGTGTCTTTTGTTTCCCCAAACATCCTGCAGCCTGTCCAAATGTTTTTRATTATTTTTTTCAAAGTACATTTTTTTCTCTTCTGTTTTTTTTCATCTTGAGCAAGTTTCCTGTGCTTAAGGTGTTTTTAGGGCCAAAGCCTGTCATTTATGGAATATGAGCTCTGTTATGYGGAGGTGCCCAGCTTGCTTGGCATTTCATTGCAGACAGGAGCATTTCTCTGCCTTTGCCTGATTTCTTCTGCCGAGGATTCRGTTTCTGCACTTGGTTTGTGGGCTCTCAGCATGCGCAGAGATCCAGAATTGCACAGAGSTTGATATTCCTGGTGAAAGATTTTGTTTCAGTGTAACACGTTTTTACAATAGCTGGTCAGRTGAAATGTCAGTCAAGGTGGTGCTTCATTCATCATCTGGTGTAGGAGCAGTCTTCCTCCCCTCATCTCCATAAGTAACCCAGGAGACTTTTTAGTGTTTTAACAAAAATAATTTCCTTAAAACCTGGAAAGTATCAGGGAAGCTTCTGTTGCGTTTTGCTCACTTGGGTTTTCTTCAGGGCAGCCAGCAGATGGCGGTTGCATCTCATTAAAGGACAGGAAAGACCAGGGCATCTCCCCTCTGTATTTTAATTGCACATTTTCCTGTCCTTAGGAGAAGGGTTAGGGACTCCAGGTGCCTTGGCCAGTTGGGCCATTCTGCTCTTTCCCCTCTGAAGCTTTTCCGCCTGTTTTGGCSGGTGCCCTGGTTGTGCTGCGCCCTGGGGGGGTGCATGGGGAAGCCTCCTGCCCGTGCGGGAACCGCGAGCCCTGGCATGTGCCGGGGATGTGGCCACGTCGAGCACGTGGCGTCACTGCTCCTGCAGTGTTGGCCCCTCTCCTGCAAACGGAGCCTTTCTGCTAACGAGCCACGGGCTGTGATGTGCCTAACTGCAGATGTGTTGTGTTACGCAGGTGAGAGGGTGGTTGCCTTTGCTGCAGTTGAAGGAATCTTCTTTTCGGGTTCCTTTGCTGCTATATTTTGGCTGAAGAAGAGGGGCCTGATGCCTGGACTGACTTTCTCCAATGAGCTCATTAGCCGAGATGAGGTAATTTGTCCTGTCCTGCACACACACATTGCTTGGGGAGGGAGCACACATCCAGCAGAAGGGTGGAATTGTTTCCAAAGATCCCACAGCCCCTTCTGGGGGCGGGCAGGGTGGAGGGGAAGCTGAGGTGGGCCAGGAGGGGTCAAAGCAGGAGCCTGGGGGCAGAGGCAGTGGTGGGGCAGGAGCCAGTGAATCGGAGGATCCTGCAGCCCACACAAGAGGGAGTTTCCACAGAGCAGAGTCTGATCCTGTTTCTGCTGCCTGGCAGAGGAGCTGCAGCGCCTGACTTGGAGGAAGGTTGGAGTTCTGGGGAGGAGTAGGCTGTCCTTAGAAAATGTTTTAAATAGGGAAAGAAACAGACTCGGGATAAAAATAATTTTGTTACTAATGAATTTGGAACCTAGGTACTCAGTGTTTTTCAGCAGAAATACATGTAAATGGAAGAAATGTGCCCAAATTCACAGCATGATCAAAAAGGAATGGATGGAAGGAACATAGGATTCCCCGCTTGTTTTCTAGTGCATGAAGGGAGGCCGTGGCCTGGCTGCATGGAGCTTGGGTTTGGAATGGCACAGCCTGTGGCTGCAGCATGCACTTGCCTTGGCAAGTTCCTCACTTGCTTGTGACCCTCAGGTTGTCCCTGGCCTTACTGCTTTGGTCAGGTAGAAGTCACCTCCTTGTCCCGTTCCCTGTCTCCTTCCAGTTATAGGTCCCAGGGCTTGCAGGTGCCTGTCTGCACTGCCTGGCCAGCTTGTCCCCCTCCGTGATCGGATCCCTTCCATGTGCTCTGATCTTGTGGGATGAAGCTGCTCCAGGTCTGCATTAGAGGGCAGAGGTTTTTGGCTTAAGGTGTGATGTGTGTGTGTGTCAGAGGGGCCACGTGCCAGCACGGTGAAGGTGGCAAACCTCGTGCTTGCTTTTCCCTGCTTCCTGGGCTGCTGTGCCAACTGGCAGCAGTTCCCCATGGCTGGGCCATGTCTATAAGGCACCACACAACTTACAGTGCTGTCAGCGCTGAAAAAGCTGAAATACCAGTTGTATTTGTAGCATAAACATGATGGTTCAACTTACCATAGTTGGTCTGAAAGATTAAAGAGCTTTATGATAATGGAAGTAATCTCCATGGCTTAGATGAACTGACACGTTGCCCAAAGACACGTTGCCCAAAGCAGCTACATTGAAAACCAGGGAAAACGGCTAGCAAAGCAGCAGGAAAAATAATAAAAATCTTCAGTAGGAAATTACACAATGATCTATTGCACCTAAATAGATAAATGGTCGATATTCAGGATGCTGCTGAGCTGCAGAATCTGTCCCCGTGACTTCCTTTGAGGCCCAAAGCTGCTGGGAGCACCAGTGCTTCCAGGCTGCCCTGCTCTGGAGCTGGTTGTGTCCTGGCCCTTGCTGGGGCCGTTGCACAGGGGAGACCATAGGAAGCCCCCCAGCAGGCAGCTAATGCAGTTCCTAGAGGGGGGTTATTTTCCAGCTTTGTTTCAGGCTGTTTTACGACCAGAATGAAGCATGAGGGTTTGTTGCCTTTCTGATAAAGCTTTTGCTTCTTGGCTTTATTTTAACTGTTACTAATGATAACATTGGATTGTATCTTTGCCCTAGCTTGCTAAATCCTTCTGTCTGGTTTTCACTCTGAATGTGCTCTTGAGGCCTTCCTATGTGCTTTAATGCCCATGTTGTTGGAAAGGGGAGACACGGGGTGCTGCAGTGCTCCGGGGTCTGGCAGAGGTGAGTGTGGCCAGGGCCCGAGCCTGGAAGCTGTAGCCAGGTGAGAAATGGAGACCCGTGGTAGAGCAGCAGTGCAGTGACCATCCTCACACCCTGGTAGACTGAGTGTGGCTTCATGTTGTTCTATCCTGACGGGAGGCTTGTCTGGAAACGTGGGGAATTAATGTAGTTTATTGGGCTCCATGCAAGAGAGCTGTGTGAAGGGTAGAGGCCTGGGTTTGGCGCGTTGGGTTGAAGCTTGTTAGTCAGAAACGTCACAAATGAGGGGATGTTTTGGTAGCAAATTCTTCACAGTAGCTGCACGTTGTGTGCAGGGAGGATTTGTCAGTCTTGCTTTTGGTTACTCTAATCAGAGCTGACCTTTCTGAAAGCGCTCGCAGCAGAAGCAGGGGAAGCAATGCTAATAAAAAGAATATAAAACAAATATTTCTGTGTAAGTATCTCAAAGCTGAGAGCCTGTAAACAACTGACGTTAACTGACAGACACTTTTGCAGGTCCTGATGCAGGAGTCTTTCCGCAAAGGCTCCCTGATGGGAAGCAGGAACCCGGCAGGGCTCTGCATAAAATCCTTTACAGCAGAGCAGTTTTCCAAATATTTACCTGAAGGAATTGGAGAAAAATGGATGCTCGTGGTTGTTTTGGCAGAGCTGTATTGGATTGCAGATGTTACTCACTGGGTAGCAGATGAGAAGTGCCCTTACAGGTCTGCTGCATGCAGTAACATCAAGACTATCATGAAGCAGGAGACTAGAAAGCTTAAACCTAAATGAGGCTGCCTGAAAGTAAGAACACTATGTAGAGGTGATAAAACCAATAAATATATTTTTTTGTCTCTGATATTTCAGGGTTTACACTGTGATTTTGCTTGCCTGATGTTTCACTATTTGGTGAACCGACCGTCAGAAGAGAGGGTGCGCGAGATCGTCGTTAACGCGGTTGAGATTGAGCAGGTGAGCGGGGCCAGGGCAGCGCTCTGGCCACACGGGMGGCATGTTGCGTTTCAAAAATAATCAGAAAATCCCACAAGTTAACTTCTGACTTGGGGAGTTTCCCGAATTTCCAATATTTAATACCTGCCTTAGGCCTGGAACCCTGATGGGGTCTAGCGTTTTTTTTCCCCCTTGCCTTAGCTGCGAGAATAAAAGGCAGAGACTTTCTGATGTAGCTGCCAGGTAACTGTGAGAAGCTGGGGCTGGCAGCTGGAGTTCTTCCTTAGTGACAAAAGGAAGAAAGGAGAAGAGTCTGTTAACCCTGTCCTTCTAGGACCCTTCCCTGTCTCTCTCTGCTAGTACATACATACCTGTGTGTCCTCTGTAAGAGCATAGGGCTGGTTCTGGCCAAATGCACAGCTCTGTGTGCTGGCTTGTTTTGAAATTACTGTCAGGTCCTTTCACATGAAGTGCTAACAGTCTTTAACTACAAGTTTCTGCACCGCCGAGTGTTTTATATGATTATAGCTTACTTCCTCCCTGCCTTTGTCATCTTACTCCTGTGATGATGATGAACACCCCAGGCTTTGCTGTGTAACACGGACAGATACTGCATCAGTGCCTAAGCATGTAGAATACTTGGTTCAGTGCTCATGCATCACTGTCCCCTCTAATTTCATCATTTAATGATGGCTGGAAGTCAAGGAAAACTGGAGATTTAGGGGTCTATTTCCCTTCCTCAGTGGTAAGGTCTCTAAGTTCTATTGAATTTAGCAGTGAACCTTTCACTGACACTTTGGGATTTTTTTGAAGTCACTAATGAAAATTCTTGTGTTTTTTTTTTTTTTTTTCCCAGAAAACCTACTAAAAATAAAGCAATATATAAGCAACTTCTGAAACAGGAGACACTTGTTGAGTTCAGTGATGCTGCTTATTTATTCAGGCAACTGCCTGAGGAGCCTGGAGTATCACAAATTGTGTTACTGTGAAGGAGAGGCGTCTTCTCTCCTTTTCCTGCTCTTAAATCTCATTTCTCTAAATGTTGTTTGTGTTTTAACTTCCAGGAGTTCCTAACAGTGGCGTTACCTGTAGGTCTCATTGGAATGAACTGCACTTTGATGAAACAGTATATTGAATTTGTTGCAGACCGGCTGCTTATGGAGCTTGGGTTCTCCAAGGTAAGAGGGGAAACGGGTAGAAATCCTGGCCTGCTGGAGCAGCCCGGGAAGCTGTGGGCACAAAGCGCTCCCTGGGCCTGGGACCAGGTCACATTTAGTGACAGCTGAAACCACAGCAGTAATAGATGTGCTTTGTTATTTAAAAGGCCAAGAACAATTTAGGCCATTGTTTCCCTTCAGCTGCTCTGCAGGCTTGTAATGGGAAACTTAGGCTCTTCTCAAGTGCTGCAGTCCTGGAAGGCTAATAAGCACCTTGCATGAGTGAGCTTGACTGTGGACCAAACTCCTGGGGAGTGACAGGGCTCAGTTTGCTTAGGTAGATGCCCATAAATTCTACAGCCTATGACAACTAGGGGTGATCTAGTTTGCAGTGGTTTGATTAGTATGTTTTTAAAAGATGCCCTTTTCATCTCAGAAATTGCCAGAATAATCAGAATCGCCAGTGTAATAGTGTCTGTCTTCCCCAGGTCTTTCACGCAGAAAATCCCTTTGATTTCATGGAGAATATTTCTCTGGAAGGAAAAACAAATTTCTTTGAGAAGCGGGTTTCAGAGTATCAACGTTTTGCTGTTATGGCAGAAACAATGGACAATGTTTTCACTCTGGATGCGGATTTTTGATACCTTGACAAAAAAAGGACAGCAGTTTCCCCCTCCCATCTTCTGCTGTGAAGTCATCTCTACTTCCTCTCCTGGAATTAGAGTCTATTCGGATTTTTTTTCCTGGCATTTGATGGTTTTTCTCTGCAGAGTAAGCATGTTTTGCTCTGTGTTATATATTAAGAAAGGTCTTTAAAAAAATCATATAACTTTTTAAAAGACCTTTTTAAGATTCTCTTGATACATCTGCTGTGATTGCTGTCTTTATAAAATGACCTGCCTACTATGACTTTTTTAAGACTGCATTAGTGTTGTAATAAAGCAAGCCTCATTTAATGGTATTTTAATCTGAAAACCAGATGAGGTGTCACTGTATGTATATATGTTGCTATAAATTATTTTTGTGGTTTGTATTTTCCTGTTTATAGATTTGATGTAGAGTAAATGCGCTTCCCTTTTGTCCTGCTGCAGAAAAGGTGAAAGTGGAAAGACATTAATAAGCTGTGAGCTATAAAACCTTACCGAGCCCAAGGATACAGTTTGACATCCCCATTAACCTGGGTTCTGTCTGAGGTGGTTTTCACTCTGATTGCCAACCCGATCCCTGCTGCTAGAAGTTTAAGACAAAAGTAATTCCCATTTGATTTACAGCTGTTATTAAGCAGGTCAGCGTACCTTGAATGGCCCTTGGAAAGGCAAGCCTGTGAATAATGGAGATAAAAGCCCAGCCTGTAGCTTGGCTTTGCAGCCTSCTTTTCCCTGCTTCTCCCAACAAGTGCCTTACCAAGCAGCCTGTCGCTGGGCTGAGCTGCGGCCGGCATCGGAAACCGGAGCAGCCGGCTCTGGGTGCTGGCTCTGCTCGGCCCGTTGGGCTGGGGGATCTGATATTCAGCCCCTCTCAGTTTCACGGGAGTTTGGCTGCTGGAAGAGGGCGCCTCATCCCGCAGGGATTATCCCTTGAGCTCCTGCAAGCCCACAGCCTGAGCCCTAAGGAAACTCCATAACGAACTGAGGTACTTCGAGCTGCGCCTTTAATGTAATGTCACATAGGAGCTTTGAGCATAAGGTATTAAACCCTTCCAAAAACAAATAGTATGGATTGTCAGCGTTTGCCAGGTGACTGCTGCATGTTCTTTGGTGTGTTCCAGTGCCTGAAAAACTTTATTTTCCTGATAACACACAGACAGAACGGAGCAGCTGGAGAAAGGCTAATGCTGTCGTGATACTTTGGATAAAAAAAGGTAGTGCTCGCTTGTAGGTGGATTATTTGCAATTAGATATGCTCACTTCCCCTACCCCYAAAGGTGAACAAATAACATGTGAGCTAGACAAGGGCTTCTGCTTTTTTTCATCATATCCAGCACTTCACGTAGAGCCTTTGTTACRTGGCTTTCCTTTTGTTCCAAACATCTTGTGCTGCTTTCAATACACCTGGCATAAGATGAGCTGGTAATTCAGGATTAGCAGTGATGGGATGGTACGAGTCATACCCAGCTCAGATGAGCCAGGGCTCAGGCTGTATGAATTCCATCAAATCAGTCCATCCTTTTAGGATGGGGAACTGTTAGTGAACAGTTGTCCCTGGCRTAAAAATAAGCAGCAGAACTGGCCCTTGCTTTTTGTTTGGCTACAACAAAAGATCATGATTTCTTAATGAGCATGGAAACAGGACAGCTCTTTTTTTAGAGAGCAGCCTSCCTCCATTGCTATAAGGTACTGAGGAAGCTGAGGGGGACCTGAAGAATACAACAAATAGCTGAAACTGGTGTCAATAGCATCCTGCAATTGCAGAAGAACTATGGACTCTAGAGAAACAGCCCTGCGCCTTTTGCAAATACTGTRTTGATGTGGGAAAAATAGAAATGTTGGAGAAACGGAATCTGTTTATAGTCACTAAAACACATTCTGTGTTGTGACTTGAGATGGAAGTCTATGAAATCTATRAGAGTTTCATATTCGAGTGTGCTCAGGTTCTCTAAATGTGTATGAGATACCAAAGTGTGATTACAACCCCATTCCCTTATTTGMGTGTGAAATATTTATATTGTTTCAATAAAATTTGAACATGGAGACAAAAGTACCTTTGTTTGCTAATTCCATGCTTTATTATGAAATTTAAAATAATGTACTTTGGCGTGGCCAAAGTGTTGACAGCTTTTGGGTTGTGGGAGGAAGGTCCTGGTCCTCCACACACTGTCTTGCAGTAAGCGCTCTGCACTTGATGCCCTGCTGAGGCCTGAGGTTTGCAGTCTAGGGAGCTGTCAGGATTTTCTGGATCAAGGAGGGGCTCTTGGCCAAAGAACCGTCCCCCAGATCTGTAAGGTCGCTGGGTGCTGTGAGAGACCTGTGTCTGAAGGGGAGAGGAGAGAGAGCAGAAGAGGGGGCAGTCAGGAAGCCTTCCCCAAGCTCCTCTCCGCAGCCCTGGTTGGTACTGGTGCCTTGGGGAGGTTTGCCACAGCGGGTACCGCACACACCTTCACTCACAGCGGCTCATAGGGTGCACACCAAATCCTACCGCGTTTTCCGTCCTCATCCCTGGATGTTACTAACATCCGTGTGGCCCCTCTGCCAGGCCCCTGGCCTCCCGCCAGGCCCCCGGGCTCCCGCCTTGCGCAGAGGGTCGGTCCGCGCTGCGCGGCCGAGCGGGATGCGTTTCCTCCTGGTGGAGCCCGCGAGTCAGCGATTGCTCCTGCCTCCACCACGGGCTTCCTCAGAGCTCCTGCTGGCAGAGAAACCCTGGCCCAGCGGGGCCTGCGCGAGCCCGGCAGCCGCTGGGCTCGGCTTTGGGATTGCCAGGGGCGCATGGTGTGGCGGGGAGCACCGCGGCCAGCACCTGCATAGGACACAGGCCTATGGAAAACATACATTATGTATATAGCCCCTGCACCTCGTCCCAGCCCAGGGACACCYGTGCTGGGAGCCGCGGCTCTGGCAGCAGGTTGTGCCTCTAACAAGAATTTTAAGCTAAGGGTTTTCAGCTTAAAACATCGGGAAATCCTGTCCTGCATGGGATGCATGAACCTGTTTCCAAGAGCAGCAGCTTCTGGAATGGGGTAGGTGACCGAAAGCAAGTTCCAGCTCAGCTCCCCACGAGCAGGGGGAGGCAGCTCCAGTGGCTCCCAAACACTGAAGGGAAGGAAGTCCATGGCTCCATTTGCAGGACATGTTTGTGCAGCTGCCACGGAGACAGACCCAGCAACTCCCTGTTACAGTTCTGATCTCTCCAGTGAAATAGCAAAGGGTTTGTGAGGGGCAGGCACAGGATCCATATGACAAGCAGCAGTGCCGAAGGGAAAGCAGGAGCCAACACGAGCTKGGAGTGTGTGCGGCTGGGCTGGCTCGCTCCTGCTGCATCTTTGCTCCTCTCAGATCTGCCTCAGGAGCTGACCCAGGAGCTGTTTCCCCACAGGGCTGCTGTTTCTTTGCATCATTCATCATGGGGTTACCTCCAGAAGAGTTACTGGTGAATCCATGTGGACAAACCTTTATTGACAAACTTGCCAACNCCAACCTCTTTTTTTTCTTTTTTTTTTTTTTTTTTTTTTATGTTATGCTGTGTAGTTTGGTCAGTGTTGCTTAAGAAATGGTCCCAGAGAGCTGCTCTAATGGCAGTGCTGTGTTTGATACTGCTGTGGATGACCCACACTACGGAGGTGTGGGGTACGTCCCCAGATAGGCCTTAGGCCGGGGCTATTTAGTCCTTTGTGAAAGGAAAGTCCCGCTTATGGATCGATTGCCCTGACTCAGAGAGGAAGAGCCCCTTTTTCATCACTCTCTGTCGGTGTTACATGTACCTCTGTGGGGCAAGGCCAGCAGCCCGCAGGCTCCCTGCTCAGCGCCCAGGCACTGGGCAATCCACGGTGGTCAGTGTTGCTACAGATAGCGTGGAGTCTTCTTGCTGTGGAGACATGAGRAGATTATCACCAATGCTGACATTTACAGACTGAGAGAAAGAAAATAGAAGATATTTTGGATGCTTTCAGGGTTCCACCTCTGCTCACCCCGCTCTGCACGATGGTTTGTTTGGTGATGCAGCGAGTGTCCYGCTGTGGCTCACACCGATGTCCTGCCTTGCTTGGACTTGGCTCCTGATAAGCTGCCAGGAAGCTTGAGCTTGAGCCTTACCTTACCCACTAGGACACACGGGAAACAGCATCAGATGCAAGAGCTGTGGTCAGCGGYGAGGCTGACAAGACCCGTGTGCCCTAGTCCCAGGATGGGCTGGAATGGGACCAGGGCTGGGCACTGGTACGGCTGCAGCAGGTCCAGGGCTCTTCTGCCAGCAAGGTCCTATCTTAAGTCATTGCTTTTAGAGAGGAATCTTTCAGAAGCATACTGCAGACTCTGGGCAAACAACAGAGAAGATGAAGTGTTTTTTTTTTCTTGTCAGTTGACAGAGCCAGGAAAAGTGTTAAGAACAAGTCTTAATGTGAAAATAGTTTTTACTCATTTGATGAAAGCCTCTGGCACTGCAGGGTAACTTGAAATTCAGAGTTACACAAAAACTTTGGTTGCCCAAGAAAGTTTCTTAGCACAGCTCCAGATTTTTTGCTGTCCAACCCCTTCCCTGCAATGCACTGTGTCAAATGAGGATGCATTTCAAAACAGATCAAATTCAAGCTGTTTTGCAAAGAAATGAAAGATGTGCTAACCAGTAATTAAAATGCAGGAGGTTGCTTAATCTCTGCATTTGATAGGGAGTCTACAGGTCTCTTACCAGCTGAGGAGCACGTGACAGAGCTGCACAGGCCCTGTCACACACTYGTGCAGTACCCTGGGCTGGCCTGGGCCTGGGGAACTTCAGAGCCTTGTCCCTTTGGCTGCTGGCATGGTCTGTTTTGAACAATGAATTCAGTGAAGACTAAGGTGGTGTGTCAGCTGCCTCCTGGAAGGTGAGGTGCCATCAAGGAAGCGAAACCTCTGGTTCTTCATTAACTCCTCCATTGGTAGCACTTTGGATGATTGACGGGACAGATGGGAAGGTGACATGGACTGTGTTGGTCCAGGACATGAGTATGGGGCTGACAGAGGTGCTGCTCCATGCCAGAGCAAAGTGTGTCTTGATGAGGGCTATGGAGGGTCTAGGCCCAGGTGCTTCAGAGCAGTGGGGACATACATACCTGTGCATAGGATGGGTCTGCAAAGGTG